AGCCTGTGATTGTGGGACTTTAGGTTTTGCGTCACACAGAATCCCATAATCGCAGTCCTCTTTCTGTCATTTGGCTTGCTTTATTATTTACCCGTTTTCTTTTTTTTTCTTTGATAACTCACTATACATTCAATTGTTCATGCTTAGTCAATGTTACATGTGCAGCTGTACTCTCGAGGAAAATTATTTTAAACTAAATTTATTTAATGTGTCATCTGCACAAAACTTTATTTCGTAGTCGACATATTTACAAAGTATATACTAATTCATTTTTAACTTAATTGCATCTTTCCTTGGAATGGCTTGACATTTTTTACGGAGGTTATTCATTGTTATTTTTAGGTTTACTAAGATTTTATGCCATGTTTTTTGTATTTCTTCTACGTTTAAACTTCCTATTTTGAAGCTGTCTTATGTTTCACAGAGTTTGTACTTGATATGTAACTTCATGCAACATAGTACTCTCTACCCTGAATATTCATTGGAAGATAAAGTTGTACTTGTAGTTGAGTTAAAGGGTTTTGTGATGATCCTTGGAATTAATTTGACAAAAAGGCATCAAATATATGAGTTTCTTATCATTGTAGGATATAGGAAGGATTTTATAAACATAACCTTGGATTTGTAAGGTATATAAGAATTTATAAAATCTAAATTCTCGATAATGTTGCACAAAGTTAAGCATGTTTAGAGAGAATACACAAGGAGGTTCACAAGAGGATGTCATTAATTTGTTACAAAATTCACTGAATTAAAATGATCATGCATGTGCGACATGAGGTGGAATGTTAGAATTCTCTAAACTTCATGTTTAGTTCTTTCTCTATTAAGATATCAGGTAATTTATCTTACTTTGTGCAGGGATTTGTCCGGAAATCAGTTTATTGGAAGTATTCCGGAAAGCTTAGGGTCATCAAATTTACAACTTGTGTAAGTATTGATTCTGTAAAGTGTTTTGTTTAGCTTAAACTATTTGTTAGTGCCATTTATTGTTGCCGATGCTAGTCACTGCTTTGTGACCTTGAAATTTGGAATTTATTCTTTCAAAATTTGTGCAAGTGGATGACTATGAAGCACAAACATTTACATTAAAAAAGGATATAATGCACAACATAATTATAAAAAGTTGGTTATTCCATGCAACGAACATGCTATTTTGTATATTTGATTACTATAAAATGTGAAAAAAATACATCGAATGTGATTTTTTTCTATAAAAAATAATTGCAAATTAAAATATAAGGTCATATTGATCATAGAAAAAGCTTACGCACCAATAAAAGTTTATTTTTTTAGTAACAATCATATTTCAAGATTTTATCAAGTGTGCTTAATTGTCAGCATTACACCAACCAAATGATTAATTGTTAAGCAAGACTATGTCAAAGTCAACATTATATTGTCTACAAATACTAAAACATAAATATAAATTTTTGAAATGTCCAAACATAAAGACATTGTTCTTCCATTAATTGGTTCAACATAATTGGCATAAAGATTGTCATCACCATTAAAATCAACTGTCTCTTCAATATATAGCATTTACCATCATCGATGGCAGTGTGAAGAGATGGAAATGTTTATTGAACAAAATAATTGTGCTTTTAAAGAATTTTTTTTTTGCTAAAAGAATCATAATGAAAGCAAAACTCGCAACCTTTTATATAATAGGCTAACGTCGAAAGGTGAAAAAGTGATTTGCAAAGTAGAAACGCAACTGATGAAAGATTTAAAAGATGCAAGAATATCAAAGCAGTAATAAATAAAATGCTGATTGTAACACATCTGTTTTGTATTTTATCTTCTTCAAAGTTGTCATGTTTGATTTGATGAAATATTTTCACTTCTTTCTGTAATGCAGCTTGTTAAACGATAATGAGTTAGAAGGACAGGTTCCAGAAAAGCTATATTCAGTTGGTGTGCATGGTGGAGTAATTGAGTAAGCACCTTGGCCTTATTTGTGTTTAATTTAGTTTCCCTGCTAATTTTTTAGTTATATTAATTATTGTGAGTTTATTGTTGATTTCCTCTTTTTTTTTCCTATGAATCAGTTACATGCTAGTATATTTGTTTATATCTACTTGAAATCACTTCTGCAATATTTGCAGACCACCGAATGACTAGTGTTTCTGTAAACGATGCCATATTTTTGTCTAGGATCAAATATATTTCTGCTAATGTTTTGAAAAAAAAATGTTCAAACCTGGTATGTAGTCTTATTTTGGAGACGGGGGACTGTTTGATTGAATTCTGTAGCTTCTTGCAGAAATTAATCTCAGTTAATTCAGAATGTTTTTTGTTTTTAATGTTTTCTTTATAACCGGCACAAGTTTATTAAAAAAAGAACCAGTAAATCTTTATTTCTTTTGTTATGATGGCCTAAGCCAATGGGTATTTCTTGTAATGCAATTTAAGACAATGACAGTTTCTTTGCTTTCCCTTTTCCCGGCTTGGCAACTTTTACTAACTCAACATATTACCCGCACCATCTGATTATCATCCATCCAATTGAAGACTACTTTGCTTTAAAAATGGTAGGTAATGGAGTGGGGAGCTCGTGCTCTCGGATCAAGTACTAGTGCTTCCTAAATATACAGTTCATTGAATTTATCCTTTTATGATGGTGATGGAATGTGGGTTTACCCATAGAATATGAATGATGACATGAATAAAAGATGATAACATTATTCAAGAGAATAAGAAGGCGTTATGAATGTAGTTTTGAATGAAGCTCACCAAGGGCTCTAGAGGAAGAAGCTACTAAGACTCACTTTTACATTGCATACAAGTAGGGGTGAGCATTCAGTCTGTTCTGATGGATCGGTTTTAAAATTGATCAAACATATTTTAACCAAAATCCCTAATCTAGAAAACTGAGCCATTCTAAATTTAGATAAACCGAACCGAAACTTAATTCGGTTTAAAGTGTTTAGTTATGAAAAAATCAAATTTTAATTGTTTATTAAAATTTGGTTAAGAACAAATATTATAAATGACATATCTTATTCACATAACATCAATTTGATTTCATGAATCCTCTATTTATTTCAATCAAATATTACATAAAATAATTTTTTTGATTTTTTTAGGTTATTCCACATGGAATTAAATTATAATAAAAATTTTTAATAATTTTTTTTTTCACTTAAATGAAAATTAAAACTGAACAGAAAATAAAAAAAGCAAAAACTAAATATTGAAGTTTTAAAAACCAAACCGAACCAACTAAACTTAATCAGTTTAGTTTAGTTTTTTGGTTTTGACCAATAATGCACACCCTACAAACAAGCAACATCTTACATAATTTCAACCTAAAAATGTTAAAGCCTACTTTCTAATACAACTCACTCATTATTTATGAAAATGTAAATGAATGATGATTGAATGAATAATTGTATGGAAAAGTAATGTTGAATTTGAACTTGAAAATTGAATCACCTCAAAGCTTTGGACATCCACATACATGTTAGGAAGCTTGTTTTATTACTTGAATATAGAATTTCTTGGTTGATTGATTATTCTTAAGATTTATTGGAGCTTTTTTAATGGACACTAGATATATCTACCGAGTGTTTATTAGACAAAGGAGATAATCATTTGAGGCGGCACAAAGCTCCAAGCCAAAAGCCTACCATCTAGATTAACGACACACTCATGACTTAGATCTTTAGATGCATTGCAAACTCATGTCTTTCTTTTTAGATGGATGAGGGGAAAACATTTTGAGTACTCTTACTCATTCAAGTTAATATTATGCCCAAAGTTGGGACAATTGAGCACCTCGAACATTGATCTCCATTCTTTCAGTTAGGTCGAATCGTTTACCTCCTCTGACTAAGTAGATTTGGTACCATGATGACAAGGGATGACAAAACCATTAGATCCTGATCGGGTTTGTCATCATTTTCCCACCATTCGCTTTAAGTTCTAAATGATAAATTTTATAATCTAAAACTCAATTCTGTTGTTACTATATGAATATGTTACGTCTATGCCTAGTTTAATGACAAGTTTGTCTTTTGTACGCCTAAGGGCAATTTAGTCTTTTATTATTATTGTTGTTGGGTATAAATAAATTTATTATGTTTAGGGATAGGGGAGGCCTGAGATTGAGTTGTGAGTCTTAGGTCTAGAGTTTGGGAGAAATTTCCTACCTTTCGAATTGTAGGAATTGGGAGAGATCGCCTACCTCTTGAATTGTAGGTGTTTATCTTTGTATTTGTGTGAGTTGTTTGGATTATAGCAATAAGAATTTCTATTTGCTCTAATTTATATGAAAATCTGTGTGGATTTCTATGTCAAATTATATCAAATTGGGAGAGATTTTTTACTTCTCGAATTGTAGGAATTGGGAAAGGCCGCTTAGCTCTCGAATTGTATGTGTTTATCTTTGTATTCATGTGAGTTGTTTGGATTATTGTAATAAAATTTATGTTTGCCCTAATTTATATGAAAATTTGTGTGGATTTCTACGTCAAATCATATCAAATTGGTATCAGAGCAACCATCACTAAGAGATCATCATGGAATCTCAGCCGGAGTGAGAAAGAATTGTTGGATGCGTGAGAACTGGCGGAGAAGCGTCAACGGATACCTTTGTGATCGAAACCTGCAATACAGTCACAGTCAGAGCTTGTTGGGAAAGAGACTACGCGGGGATGGCACCAAACATTCACCCGACTAAGTAGTGTCGTCCCGCATTTTGGAAAGATATAACGGAATCGATTATGGTGGAAGCTCCATCTGGCGTGCCCTAGTGCACCACTATAGTCGAGATCAACACACAAAGATCGCTTCTTACCAAACGCGATACTGTAGGGGGAGTCAGGATCACAGCTTACAGTGACGTGTACAGTCACTATCAGCGCTAGCTGGGAAGGCTCCGACGAGATTGCACAATAGTGATCAGAGCTATTTGGGAAGGCCGCTACTAGGAAGGACCCGAAACTCCCATTTTTCTTCTCTTGTTCTTACGCCGTCCACGCAATCCCGTTGCGATCAAAGCTAGCGGGGAAGGCAGCCGCGTGGAAGCAGCTGCAGGGAAGTAGCGTACAAAGACCCTAAATTTTGGTGATTCACTATCAGGCTTGTGCGGATTTGTGCATTATTTCACCGAACATGATTTCTGCCACTAGTTTTAACTCATAAACGTCATTTCACATACGAAGCTACAGGAGTTCATCACATTACAATCCAAAATATGCCAAACCAAAGCATCCCCCCGAACAAAAATAGAGCCACAATGAATGAAATTATCACTTATTATTAAAAAAAACCAGGATGTTGCACACATACCACACAATACTTATGTATGAATGAAAACTAGAAAGTTGCCCAAATCATCATTGTGAGAAAAGTTTTACACAGAAATAAAGCCAAATTATCCTTTCCAACAACAATATAATCACAAGAGATTGTGATAGATCAAATGGTACCAGTTGTTGGGTTGCACAATTAAAGCCAAAAGTTCATAATTTACATCAGTTTACTAACACAAAGAGGGGCAAACATATCATAAGAGCGGGACAACCTGCAAAAGAGTGTAGGCCCCCTAAAAATATTAAAGCAAATAACCATAGTAGGTTCCGCAAAGAACAAGGGGCATCTAGAAAACAAATTTCTAAGTAGCCAGAATAATGTACTACATTGAAATAATAGGTGGTTGTGAGTTTCTGAGAAAGTATTAAAAAATTTGCGACATTGAAAGAGTAGTATTTCACATATTAATTCAAAAAATGCTCAACTTTTGAACATAATAGAAAACAAAAAGAAAATGTCTGATCTCCATATTTTAACTTCATTACCTGTAGTTGTATTTCACTTACGCAAAACATAGTGGAGATTGATAAAATAAACTACACGACATATTGACAAGACAAGGAGATTAGCGTAGAAGATATTGGTGAGACAAGAAGAGTGGCAGAGAGGTTAGCAGATGAGTGGACAAGAAGCAGGTGAGATGAGATCGGGTGCGCTAGGGTAAGAGAGAAGAAGAAGGTGAGACAACCATGGGAATGCCCTAGGGCATGCACGATTCCTCTTTGCGAACTAGGCGAGGGGCGAGGTTAGAATAACGAACCACAGTGATAAGTTTATTCGCGAACGCGTAACATAGCCGTGGTTCCATGTTTGTGAATCTACAGTAACTTCAAACCGACGTTCAGGACTGCTCCATCTGAACGAACGAATCAAACACACCCAAATACGGTGGGTTCAAAAGCTGGTTTTGCTCAATCAAACACCCTTAATGATGGTCAGGTAGATGAATTGTCCTTATTGCATATGACATGGATCCACTACAAAGAAGCCTTCACTACAGCTTATCATAACGTAATTCAACTTTTAAAATGGAAATCATCCAAGTTTTCAAAAAATTACTCAAATTATTGCTGACCTAATATAATAGGAAGATTTACATACATTGCACTTAATTCTTATGTATTTACATATCTAACATCTAAACATCAATTTTTACATATATATATGCCACCTTACATATGCATGAAAAGATGTATTTCCCCTTTTAAGAGTTAAAATAGTGGTATTTTTGATATGAAAGTTTTAGTTAGTATAAATGTAAAAAGTCAAGTTTAGGTGTTACATATGTAAATACATAGGAATTGGGTGGTATGCATGTAAATTCCCTAATATGATATAAATGCTATCCCATAGATGCTTCTACTGACACTCATAAGGGGCATCAAACTACAGGAAAGAAAAATTCTGCCTCTGACATGCCATGAATTTGGAATCCCACGGCTTAAATCTTGAGAAGTTGAATTAACGAAGGAGAAAGATTAGATTAGGATCATTTTGTACTTGGCACCCTAAAAGGTGCCCTATAAGGATTCTTCCACACTCAGTTCCTCCTTAATCAGCATGTGTAGGTCTGTTCTACTAGAGGCTTCTCTTTCTTCATCTTATATATTCGACTTAACTTTATGATCAACTTCCTTAGTTTGCATTTCTTTCCTCTCAACATCGAAAGTAATCACACCGTTGTAACTCTACAACTTACTCGCGCTCCTACAATGGGGAATGAATCAAGAAATTCTTAGACGTTGTTTTGCAAACATGGGTCAACATACATCTCTCCATATCTATAATGCTGTAGAATCCCTCAAAGTATGCTTGTAGTGATTTTCGCATAACATCGAATTGCTGTTCTAAGCTAGCATGTATTGCAATCACGAATTTCTTTTGATATGTTTCTCTGACTTGTACTTCAAAATCAAATTAGGTTGCAACTTGCAAATGTTTTAAAGAAATTCTATGCTGTATTTGCTACTGTATTATATCACTTGTACTATGGATTTGCATTTGATTATGGTACTAGTTTTGCTTCACTATCATCATTTTATTGTAAGTCCATTTTCCGTGCTCTCTTATTTTTCATGAATCTTTCTTTTCATGGAAATGCTTTTTGAGAGTTTAATTTAGAAACCTTTCCATACATGGTGCAAAATTCTTATGTGCTTAAATATCTCACACCTAAACTTTTCTATTTACACTCAAATATTTGATGTCACCTAAAAAATAGCGCTATTATCATTTTTTTTAAAGTGATACATCTTCTCATGCATAGGCTTAAAGCACCAAAGTGCTATGTATGTAAATATGAAAGTTTAGGTGTTGAGATGTGTAAATGCATAAGAATCGTGTGCTATGTATTTAAATTTCCCTTATTAGCATTTCTCTGGCAATATCTGCGTTTTCAAGATAAATATTTTTCAGTCTCTCAGGGAACAATGGATTATGCGGAGTACCTTCTTTGCCACCATGCCCCTTCTTTTGGGATAAAAAGAAGCTTTCTACAAGAGGAAAGATTGCAATTGCTCTATCATGTGGGGTTTTCATGAGCATTGTATTGCTTGTATATGTGGCATGCATCAAACGGGGAAGGAATGACTATGAATTTGGGCCACCTCAGGATTTGCTTTGTGAGTATCATCTTTTAAAGCAGTAGAATCTCCAAATTTAATTTTTTGTATTATTAATATGATTTATCTGAAAATATTGTTATCTTCCATCCATATACTTATCCGACATCACCATTTGGGTGATCTTCTTTTTAACTCATCTTAGTCTTCTGTTACGGTGGCCTTTATTTTAGTGAACTCGGTTCTTAGTTATTTTAAATAGAAAAAAATTGATGTTCATAGGTACTATGTTTAAGTGCATGATGCATGCTCAGTTTATGTAAGAATTTTTTTCCATATTTCAATTGGATTACATTAAGGATCGACTTTAAGCCCATATCTTTTTGTTTTAGTTATAGATGCTCTTATTGGACATTTACAAGAGGATTTACCTTAGTGTATGTTTTTCACTGATGATATATTTCTTGTAGATAAGACTAGAGAAAAATATCAGGAAAAACTAATTATGGAGGTTTGCATTGGAGTATAAATGCCTTTCTTTGAGTAGGTCTAAAATTAAATACATAGACTGTAATTTTAGTAATAGTAGCTCTAATGACAAAGTTGTAACAATGGGTGATCAAATCTTTAAAAGGTGTGAATGGTTTAGATATCTCGGGTTTATTGAGCAAAGTGATGGTGATATAGATGGGGATGTTATTAGTAGAATTCAATTTAGTTGGTTAAAGTGGAGGAATGCATTAGCCTGTTGTGTGATAGAAATGTACGACTTAGATTTGAAGGAAAAATTTCTATGATGGTTGTGAGACCTGCGATATTTTATGGTGTTGTTGGCTTTTAAAAGAGAAGAATAAAATAAAGTTAAGTTTTACTAAGATGAGAATTCTAAGGTGGATGAGTGGCTTGACACTTTAAAATGTGAAATGTATCTAAATGTGAAAGGTTTGGTGTAATTTGTTGGTGTAGCTCCTGTGGCAGGCAAGATTAGAGAGAGTCGTCTTAGACGGGTTGGTCACATTAAACGTTGACCATCTGATGATCCGGTTAGGAGAGTAGATGTTTTAGGTTTTACTTATGCTTGGAAAGATAGAGATATACTTGAAAAGACTTGGGCATATTGTATAAAAAATGATCTTAATCTCTTAAAATTAATTGAAAATATGACATTCAATAGGATACAATGGAGAAAAATGATTCATGTAGCCGACCCCGCGTAGTGGGATAGAGGCTTGTTATTATTGTTGTTGTTGGTGGTGGTTTAGAAGCATTAATTTCAATGCATATTATGTGGGTAGGGTTTATATATTGACATTAATGTAGATCATCATCGCAGTAGCCTTATCTCAACTATTTGTGGCTAGCTTTTGAATGCTTATTCTTTGTGCATTCCAATTGAGTATTGCATGGAGTGATAACTTATTCGTAAATCATTTGCTCAACTTCGAGAAAGGTGGCCTTAGGTCTATCCTCTTTTTTCTTAGATTTATCTATTCATGCTATTGGTTATTTTTTGTCATCTTTTATATGTGCCGAAATAACTTGAATTTTTGCAATTTTAAGTTTCCTATTTTAGATTTATTCTCATTTATTCCTCTCTTTTTTTGCTGTAGTTCTTTTCTTTTGCTATTTATAGTGTTTTTGATAAGTTGTGATAGTAGGAATTAAGGGTCCGTTTGGCACAACTTACCCCTGTGTTCGACATTTTCGGGACGCCGGGGTAGCGTTTGGATAATGCGTTGGGGTCGGCGGTGAGCGAACGCGCGTAAGGGTTTATGTTAATATTCGTTCTTTCGTCCGCCGCTCCCATTACCCTGCGTTTTTTGCGTTTACTTATAGATTATTACTCGGCTGCCCTTCTATCTCGTCTCACCGTCGTTGCCCTAGATCTGCGTTCAGACTCCCCTGATCTCGGATCTGCTCCTCGATCCCGTGTTGCTGTCATTACCCTAGCTCTGCGATCGAACTCCTCGATCCTGTGCACCCCTCTGCTCTCCCATTTCCCGTCTGGCATTAGGTTGGTGGATCGAAAGTTGTTTGAAATTTTCACAGGTATCCCCTCTTCCCTGTAGAGAAATGCTATTTGTGTCGTTGGTTGGGATTGTATGAATTATGGTGAGTTGGGAAATGCTATTACTAGGATGCGTTGAGCAATGCTATTACCTGACATAAATTTTTGATCCTTTGTGTTACAGGGATTTATTCGTGCAATTTCTTCATACTTAACTGTTTACGAAATTTTTAATCTTTCATATTATAGGGGCAGAATGATCATTTATTCAACAACAGCTTCCAATAAGCTGTTCTGAATAAACTGCCTCAAACAACAAACCAGTTTATTCTAATATTATCAGAATAATCTGCTTATCAGCAGATTATAAATAATCAACAGCTGCCCCGAACAGACACTAAATTTACTTTAGCTTTTACTTATTATATAAGGAGAAGAGTTGTAATTTGATTATTAAGAAACAAGAGTATACAGTTGTATCTACTTTTCTTTTCGTGGTACAAAGTGAGGAAAGAATCTCTAGCTCTCTCCAGCTTGCAGGCCCTCCTCTGCTTACTCTTGCCGCCATCGGAGCCTATCCAATAGTTGTCAAACCCGTCCAATATCCAAAATCGCGACTATATCTGCTTGCGACGTTGGCTTCCCAATGGGTGTGAACCGAACCTGTATCGTGTCACTGTAAGTCGCAATCTCGTTGCTTGTGTCGAGATCGTCGTCTGCATCCAAATCATCTGATCGAGTGCTTTGTATTGCAATATTGTAAGCCGCAATCCGTTGTCTTCATCCAAATGCTCTAATTGTTGTATGTGGTCCCTCTTCTTAGGCGTGATCCTTGCAGGTGTTCCTTCCCTGCAGATGTTACTCTTCTTCCCCGACAAGCATTTTCTTCCATCAAATTTAGACCTCCAGACACAAGGAGCAGCCACCTCTCAGTCTTTTTGTTGATGACCCAGCTGTTCCCGAGCAAACAGAGGAGCCACATGTAACACCTAGTCAACAATCGACTCTATTTTGTGGTAGCAGTAGCCCTAAATGTCAATGGCTTATTATCTATGACCAAGTATGGGATGAAGATGTTTCGGTTTACTCTGTAGGTTAGTTTTGAATAAGAGACCTTGAATACTCTGTAGGTTAGTTTTGAATAAGAGACCTTGAATTCTACCCAAACAACCCCAAAATTCTCACTTTATCAGAAAACATAAACTCAATGACCATACATTCCTTAAATGATTCCAATCCATGTTTATGTTTATTTTGGCAAAGGAAAAGAGGAACATCTCATGGGAGAGGGAAACAGTTCTTGAGCTCACAGATCCTAACGATCACTCCATGAAGATCTAAGATCACATTATTATGTCTTGGTTATCAATTCTATGACCACAAAAATTTGAGGGCTTTTTTTTTTTTTGTTTTATAAGACAACACAAGATATTTGGGAAGAAACACGTGAGACTTAGGGTGCGTTTGGGGTGGCACAGCTGTAAAATATGAGTATGTTTGGGAAATCAGTTTCTCTGGAGCTGTAAAAAAGTTGCTGATGGAGAATCATGAGTTTGTTTGGGAGATCTGCTATGCTGCAGTTGTTTATGATGAGAAAGTTTGTTTTGCTTTTATATATGTAATATGTCAATATAATTGCAGTTTTCAGAATAATTACAACAAAATAACATAAAAGGATTCAAATACCAAAAAAATATTAGTACAGTGCAAAATACTCAAATATGTAAAAAAATAATCAATTATTTCATGTATATAATTACAAAAATGAGGATAACCACAATAACCGACAAGCCTAGAATTATGTTCATCTCATGCTCCGATGATCAAGTCTTCCGGACAATCTCCTCTTCATAGAAACATCTCTATTGACTCTATCACTGCCTGGAGCAAAGTCATTCTTGTCATCAACCCAGTGAAAATAATTACAATCTTTAGGTGTTATGTTTCTGAGACAACAATAAAATCTTCTCCCGTAGCTACTTTCCCTTTTTGATCATTGATCGACATACCGTGTGTTGCAGTAACAGGTTGTAACTCTCGAAGTACCTGATACTCTTGAACTCTTGTTTCCTGTGATTGTAAAACACTATGACTTCATTTGAGAAAAAATACACATGTGAAAGAAACATTAAAAAAATAAACAATTTTACAATAAAAAGAAAAGGTAATTGGCACTCATCAAGAAAACTACATTACAGATGCTAGAAAGATTCAAAAAATATACATACACAAATCCAACGCACTACTGAAATATGAATCATCAATAAGACATCAGCTTGTGATGTTATAAAAATAGAATTGATGCGTTCACCAAAGCATTAGTAATCTCTTCTCTTAATTGTATCATCTCTTGCACGTCTTCTCCCTCGGAAGTGTTGTATTCGGTCGTACTAAAGTCCACATCAGACACTAAGTGTCTGACCCGATGTTGGAATGCTTCCTCAAGCATTTAGGTAGGATCTTCATCTAAGACCCTAAAATAGATATCATCTCGGGATGAATACCTCTATAGAAAATTATGTAGAGTTGTTGTTGCAACAACTATCTTCACCTATTTTTTGATAGAGTACGTTGGCATATCTCGATCGGTTGCTCTCTAGATGACACTCCGTAATGACGATCGTCTTTTATTGAAGAATTCATTTCTCTCTCTATTCACTTGACTGTTGCACTCAAAATTAGGAAGGTGATACCTCGTGTTGAAAAATGATTTCAAGAAATTATGTTGCAATGGATATCCTGAATTGACCAGGTAACATTTTCCTGAATAATGACATCATTAGTGCATTTTCGAAAATGAAAATAGTTTGTGATGTCTAAAATGTAATAACCTTAGGGAGGCATCGAAAATTTGTATTCACACTGCAAAGTTGCAAATTTGAAACTTTTGCTATATTGAGTAGTTCCTTCCCAGCCAGCTATCATGAATGTAAAACACATGTTGAAATCACACACTACTACGATATTCCATGTAGCAGTCCCACACATTTTAATATATGCGATCTTCTCCTCATTGTCAACGCGTGTGTTGACATGCGTGCCGTCAATTACTCTTATGTAATTTTTTTTTAAAAAATTGTTAGACTATTATTTCTACTTTTTTAATTGTACTAATGTTAGAAAAGATAGAGATACCAATGCCATGTTTCTCGGATTATGACAAATTTCTTGAGGTGTTTGTGCAAAAGTATGGTCTAATTGTTTGACAATGTTGTTAAACATTTTCTCTAAAGAGTTCACCTTGATGTTGAAATAACTGTTAATTGTCTATGTGGAGTGTTGTAACTGTCGAGAAGCAGTACGAATGAACTCATTATGTGGCATAATGAAAAGTGTGATGTTAGAACTTCTCGTGATGTAAATCGTGAAGATCCATGCAAATTATATTTGGACTGCAATTCATGAAACAAATCGCAAAATATAGTTTTTGACATCCAAAACATATGATATGAATCCTGCTTGGATGAGCTTCGAGTAGTTCACCAACTTATTTTTCACCCACAAATGACGATGACACACACGGTGTCTTACACAAAATTTTCTGGTTATACTCATTGATGAGACAAACTGTGTTGGTAAGGACAGTTGCTCTCTCGACTATCTCTATTATTTCATTTTCATTTTGTGATTCCATTTGTCTAAAAAATGTATGTTGGAATGTAATAAAAAGAACAAGTTATGATGGAATTGCAGGTAATTGTTTAATTGACTAATAATGAAAGCAGTACAAATACTAAAATCCATAAATACCGAAACGCCACAGATAAATAAATTAGTCATTGTTCATCATGGAAATGTAAATTATTACAACAATAAATTCGAAATTGTAGTTACAAATTAAAAAAAATGCAAATAGCTAGTCTGATTATCTAAGAAATATCGAAGGCAGAGAATCCTCCGTTATGGTAACAATTTTAAGAAAGTCGCACGCTTATTTCGATTCTCTAGAAGTTTTACAACAATTAAATAGAAGGGCATGTCATCAAAAATCTCTGGAATAGAATCAAGTAGCTTGACACCTCTGTCATAGTCGGGTTTTCATGCAGAGTTGTGCGCTCTGTGAGATCTACTCGGATAAGTGTGCCTAACCAGCCTTCATTTTCCTTTTTTTTTCTTATGGGTCGAGGGTGCAGGACGTTTGGACTGACTGGGCTCCCCTTGCTTTTTTCCTTTGGTTGTTCTTTGTTGATCTCATTGGAATGTGCACATTCAGGCTCATCTAAATTCTGGGTGGGGTCCTCTCTTGTAGCCTAGACATTGATGTTTGCTGCTACAACACCAAGGAACATGGTATCTAGCTTCCCCTCTAGCTCCATGTCAATGCCAACACGTTTATCTATTTTTTTGCATTTAACAGGACCTACAATTAATAAATTTGATTTTAAAGAACCGAATTTCAAAATAATTATAGTTTAATAAAAGAGTATCTACTTATTGAAATTTTCTCTTGCCACCACATCTATGGTGCATCCACTGTTTTTCCTTACACGACCCCATTCTAAACCAGTAGCACCTCTCTTTAGCTCCTTCCATAAATTGATCCCATTTATTTTTCAATTGAGTTTTGTCGTACAATCAAATGTTTTTTTGCTTAAAAATTTTTCATAATATTTTGTCAACTTTTCTTATTGAAGTGTGTGGTTGGTCTAATGTCATATTCTACCTTTCTCAAGCAAAATCACAGAAAATTATCTTTATCTCCCTATCCTAAATAACAAATATCTCACATTTCTTTTGCTTACTCATTTGATATATCAATAAAAAAAGGAGGTCTAAATAATATTATTTAGCATGTAAGATAACATTTCTTAAAGACAAAAAAGATAAGTCGAAAAAAAGATTTCGAAGTAGAATTTGGTGAATTAAAGTTCTCAAAGAAGGCTTTATTCGGGATCACCAATGGTGCAATTTAGGCTTGAACACCATGTAGTTTCTGTGACAACTCTATATGGTTGATTTTTGAATCACGATTGATAATCAGTTGATTTATTGGTTTATTTTTTTTTATCATTGTTCAACAAAGCATTTCACAAAAAGTGAAATTTGTCACCAAAACAAACCTCAAAACCGTCAATGCAAAAAAACAATTGCACAAACCGAAGAAACGAACAGTTCCACAAACCAGTGAAACCAATATGATCAAATCAAAAACAAGAATCAAACCAACTTCACAAAATTCATGTATCAATACAATTTAGACATTGAAGCACTTGATATTCAAAGTCCCAATTTGCTCAACATAGTTATCAACTTCTACTTAACTTTTCCTGATTGAGCAGTCCGCGAAAAGGTGGCAAAAATGTGGCACCTAAACTCCGTAGTCGTTGTTTCGAGGACGAGAAGCGGAAAGAACGGGTAGCAAAACACGTCCTTATTCCAGTACCGAAAACACTGCAGAATTATTTGAGATTGTGACAAAACTACATGAGTTTCGACAAGAAGAGTTAAGTGTGACTCAATACTTAAACACACTTATAAAGTACTAGTTACAATTAGATATCTGTGATACTAATGTATGGAAATGCCCTCAAGATGCTATATTGTATAAAAAAATAGCGGAGAAAAGAGGATGATCAAGTTCTTGTTGAAATAACAACTTAAATGAGGTCAGACGAAGAATCATAGGGATAAAGTGACGCGGGAACTACCCAGGAGCCCTACTTCTATGATCTCTGCTGTAGTATCGCTATAAGAGCCGAACCGAGCATGTGTGCTGGTTCACGTGAACGGCATAGAGCCAAATTGAGCGGCTCGTTTTCAATTCCTTTCCAATTTTTAGTGAGTTTCCTTCTTTCCCTTCATTTCTTTCTAGTCCTTTTCTATATACATGTTGTATTAGGGTTTAGATTTGGAGATTTTGGCTTGAGTTTGCTTAGGACAGCCAATGGTGTATGTTTTCTCCTTTTGAGGGTTGTATCCGTGGGTTTGGGTGGTGTTCCGGCTCTATCTCTCTCCCAAGGCGGTGATTATCTTCCATGTCCCCCTCTACATCCTCCACACATCGCTCCTGATCGCCCTCCATTACTGCAGCCACCCCAGAACAACAACCATTGTTTTTCTGAAGTTTATCTCCGTTGCCACCTTCCAGAATTCACCTCTCTCCCTCCTGCATCTATTTCATCCACCTCTTCCACTCTCCATCACTACCTACCTGTTGTCCATCCACCCTCCCCTTGTCATTTCCGGTCACCCCCAGCTTTTCCAACTCCCCTTACCATTCTCCACCACTACCTAGCTACTATCCCAACCTTTCCCGTGCTGTCCTCGCTGTTCCAGCTGCGAGATCGGATATATATATTGCCGAACAAATTGCTTACCGAATCCAAGTAGTATTGGTCATGAGATTTTACATTTCTCTCAAATGCTTCAAGATTCATTCTTAATATCTAAACCACGCTCGATCGAACCGAAACTTTTACCATCCGAACATTTGCCAAATAATGGAGCCAAGCCCGTTGTTTTACATCTTTGGACTTAAAATCTGCTACAGTTTGTCAGTGTTTACTTCAGAAAATGTGTTTAAATTTTCCAATGCAATCTAAGGATGATTTACATACATGCTACTCAATTCCATGTCTAACTCTTAATTTCAATTCTATATACATACCAGCTTACCTTATGTATGAAAATGTGTATTTCACTTTTTAAAGTTTAAATGGTGGTATCTCTAATGTGATATGAAACATTTGTTTGGGGGGCTGGATTGAACATAAAATTCTTTTTTCTCTCCCTTCCATTTATTTTTTATTGTAAATTCAGATTTATTAAAACCAACTATTAGGTGGATTTAACGAATTCAATTTAACTATTTGATGGCTTTAACAAATTTAACTTTTAAGTAAATCCATAGCTATAAGAACCTAAAATAATGTGCTAAGCACATCTAATAATTTTAACTGTATTTAACTTCAACTGAACCAAACACTTTTGTAAATTTAATAGTATATGGATTTGATAAATCCTATTAAACTTAAATCTTCAATGCAGCCAAACACCCCCTTGGGTGCTATAAATATATAAAAAAAAATCCAATTTTTACATCTAACAAATCCCACATCTTTTACCTTCCAGCCTCAGCAATGGCTTCCAAGCGAAACAAGTACCAAAGACAGAAAATGCTTCTTGAGATGGAAACTCAACACTCTGATGGATTTGTGCCCCGCCCGAATCCCCACTGACAGTTTCCTGAACCATTTTGCTGAAACAATTTTCCTCATTCTTTGAAACTTTAGCTTCTCAACTGCAAATAACAATCTGCTATGATTGAACTGAACCTGAAGAATGGAAGCTCGGTTGCTCAACAATGGTTTTTTTTTGGCTGATACAGGTGAGCTTTTCCCTTTTTATTTTTGTATTACATAAATCTACTTGAGGATTGTAGAAGTTAGGTTGCATATGTGTACTATTATAGGTGAATTTCTCTATTAGAACAGCAGAACCTTTAAGGTTATTTGTACATTTGTTATCCTTGCTAGTTTGATTAGTGTTTGTCTCATAGTTATTAGTTTTGTTTGTAGATAAGTGTCATATAAAATTTGATTGTTTTTTTTTTACATATTACACTCGTCTCAAAATAAATTGAATTATTTCGGGTCGGTTTTGGCGGAGTTTTGATCCGAATGCTCTAATTTAATTTTGTCGTCTTTGAAGTGTTATTCAGGGGAGGAATCAGGTTATGTCTAGCGCGTAGATGCTCCTGGTATTGTGATTAGGGCATTTACTTGCATACCACCCAATTCCCATGTATTTACATATCTAACGTCTAATTTATATATATATATATAACATAAATTTAATGAAGGAATGATGTTGGGTCAACCAGAATAAGCACTAGTTATGTCAGGCTGACGACGTAAAACCAAGCGCTTTGTGTGAGGCAACCAATAGTTATCAGTTTATTTTTATTTTTATTTTTTTTTTGCGAGCCAAATTTTTTATATCACATAAAAAAAATACAATTTTAATATTTAAAATTTGAAATACTCATTTTTATCCATAGGTGGTATGACTGTAAAATTTTGAAATTTAGCAGTTAGATATGTAAATACAGAGGAATTGAGTGATATGTATGTAAATATTCCAATGTGATTTTGCCAAGTTGAATGATATATTTTGCAGTTATAACATAAATCAGTAAGGAGCTGATTTGAGGATAATGCATTTGTTTTTTTTTTTTTTTTCAAGTATTATTCAAGTAGTGCTCAAATGAGTACAGACCATTGCTCATAAATAAAGCTAAAATTCTAAAAAAAAGAGGGTGCTAATATCGTTTTTCCATGCGCAATCCGGCCCTAAGATGAGAGCCCGTGCCATGCGCCTATAATTTGACCTCCCATACACCACGGTAAGGATCGAACCCTTGCTAGAGAGGACTTACAGTGACCCTGTCTACCAACTGAACAAAGAATGCAGCACTATATATATATAAATAATTATTAAATGCATTAAATATGGATGTATGCATGAGAATGTATAGCCACATAACTTTGTGCATATATTATATATATAAATGAATTTAAGTTGGGATATAACTATTTTAATTTTTAGTCGATAAAAATATTAAAGAAAAATTTCAAATTTTATTATTATAAATTCATTCATTTAATAAAAGGAAAAAAAAAAAAAGATTGTTGGATTTGGGGTATTGGTGTGTCTGTGGGTCAATAATTGGGAAAAAAAAAGATTGTTGGATTTGGGGTATTGGTGTGACTGTGGGTCAATAATTGGGTCAAACCGATTGGCTCAATTGATTCGGAGAAAGTCAAATATGAAAATGACATGTCTTTAAACAAAAGAATAATAATTATTCGGGTCAAAATTAGGTCAATTCTAATCAATCATGGGTCAAATCTAGGTAGGTTGATTTCAAGTTAATTTAGGTTTGACTGGTCATTTTTGTATTAGAAAGTCAACTGAACTTAACCTGAAAAATTAAACGAGTTAAGATTTTCAATCCGAACTTGACTCAATTTTTTCGGGTCAACTCAAACCCAAATTTTTGAATTTGGATTCGGGTTCAGGCCGAGTTGGGGTGTTCGGCCAATTTTTGATGCCTCTACTTATAACAACATAATGGCTTATGTGAGATCATAATTTCAGACAAATATTAATTTTGAGGTTAAAATTATCAATTAAAGTTCTTCCCTTCTAATCCTTCAAAACCATTTTAAAGGGAAAAGGAAGGGAAATTTACATACATTCCACACAATCTTTATATATTTACATATCTTACAACTAAAGCTTGATATTTATATTTAAAATAATTTAATGTTATAATCTATGCATAAAAATGTGTTTCACTTTAAATGTTACTAACAGTGATATTTTTTATGTGATATTATAGATTCGAGCCCTCAATATAAAAACTCAACCTCCATTCATATAGTTGGACTTAGGTTATTTTTGTAGCTTATATGAGCTTGAATTACTCTTTAGAGGATCGCTACTCTTTGTGTAGGTAGTTTTTATGTGTTTTGACTAAAATAAATTACTCTCACATTAAGCATAGTTTAATAAACGTATCAAGTGTAATTACATTAGTATTATAATTTATTTTTTAGAATTTATTTAGTCTGAGGAGGTAGTTGACACAACCTGATTGAATAATCATTATTAGCAGTCATGAGTTGTATTGTCTAAGATATTCTTGTAGATCTAGGGTGCAAGTTTATTTAATGGGAAAAAATTACGTCAACCTTAACTAACAAAAGACTTAGTGTTAATCAATTGCATCATTATGATTCAAAACTTAGCGGGTAGAAAGTTGTTGGGGAACATATGAGTTGCGGCTAAGATCATAATATAATGATGTCATTTGACAACAACTAAATGATCATGAGGCTCTGGTTGTAACTGCTACTTTGTGTTATTTGGAGGTAGAACCAAGCGAACTGAGGACTCGACCACGTCTTTACTGGCATATAATTGTTTTGATTGTGAATACAGAGATACTTAAGTTGCAAGTAATGAATTATACAACTTAAATCGTAAGTCTGATGCTATTATATGTTGAATTATCAATTATTAATAACTAACCTTAATTGAAAATATTCTTATGTTATCGAGAGGGGTAATTAACCATAGGGGCTTGTGCCCATGGGAAACCTCAAATCCCAAATTGAAAAAAGTCCTCGCATAATGAGAGTAAAATCCTTGGGTAGTGTCTTATCTGCCCTCCAAATCTCTCTCTCAAAAAAAAAAAAAAACAAAAAAAAAAAAAAAAAAAAAAAAAAAAAAAAAAAAAAAAAAAAAAAACTAAATGCAAAGAGTCCTCAGGAGCGCTAATAATTTCGGAGCCCGCAGATACGGAAAATTTGACTTTGCATGCGCTATGATTTTTATAATACAAAAATATGACTACTTTGTTCTTATTTGAACAAATACGAGTAAAGCTTAATTTAGTAAAGAAGATTGTAATGGAAATAAAAGTTACAATCACTTATTGTATCATGAACTTTTGAACAAAAATATTTCTCCCTCTTCGCTCTTCTAAGAATCTCTATCGTGGGCACAAAGTCGTCCCTACAAATTCTTGTTCATTGACATTACTCTACTAATTTTCTATTCTAAGGTTAGTGTGTTATTATTATTACTCTTTAGGCTTGAATGCATTCATCATCCATTCCAATGGAAACAGTCTAAGGTTATATTATGAAGGAGAAGGAAGGAGAACTCTATGCTTGAAAATGAATAATAATTGAACCTTATATTCAATGATAGATCATTGTTGACAAATGTAGAAATATATATATTTTAGGGTTCAAATATTATATGTGCTACTGGATTAAAAGAAAATTTGGACTTGAAAAGATTTTATAATAGGAGGTTTAAAACCTCCTTCAAATCTTGCTTAAGCCTTTTTTCAAACTTATTCAAACAATCATCTTTGTTCATTTAAATCTTGTTCAAACAATGTTTAAACATAATATTTGACCCTAAGCATTATACAAAAACTCAAATATAATTAAGGCAAGGTGTGAGCCCATTTGAATCTTATTCAAGTCATGTTTGATCCTTGTTTAAACTAATCTAGTATTGGTATTTATACAAATGTTGTAGAGTAGTGATTTGAAATTGAGTTTGAATAAGTTTCTTGTTTTCGTCTTTTTATATCATTATCTTATATAAAATTGATTTATTTTAGCTACATTATTATGGAGATAGACACCCCTCCTAGTTTTTCTTATGGTTAGACATTACATTACTGAGAGAGAAAGTTAAATTTCAAATATCTTTCTTTTTTTTTTTTTGCATAATTCTTCTCTGGAGCCTTAATTCATCGAGCGCTTTTTCTGTCTGGACTCCTGACCTACCTCTATGTGCGGCGTAGGTTATTTCTGGGTTATTTTCAATATTATTAAAAATATTGAAAATTTAATATTGAAAATAACCCAGAAATAATCTGAAAATAACTCAGAAATAACTTCTGCCGCATATAGAGCTACATCAGGAGTCCACATAGAAAAATTTTGCAATTCATCAACTTCATCAAAGTGTTTTTTTTAATTTAATAGTGTTTTATACTTCATATCTACTTTTTTATATAGTAGCAAATATTAAAATCAAGAGTTAATAATCCTTTTTTTAGAAGTTTTACAAAGATATGGCATTTCCAACTCATGACACCAATGATACTCTACATATAAATCATTATTAAATGTTCCAAACATCAATTAATGATATTAATCTTATGAATGTTTTTTATGTGGTTAACCATTATTATAAAATTGCATAAGATAGGTACCATACACTTATATTTAGAGCATTTAGTAGCAATTTATATGCCAACAACTTGAATATTATGGGCTAGAACATGTCATATGTACATGAAACTTGCTAAACAAATGACTAATAATTTTTAATTTCAATACTTGTTAAGCTTAGTAGCTAGAAAACAATTGCATCTAAAGCAAATAAATAAATAAATAAATAAATAAATAAAGATGTCATGCATAAATTTGTGTGAAGTCAGGGTTTAAAATCTCGAACAAATATTCGAACAAGGGCTAAAAATGGTAGACATGCAGGTAATATAACAAGAACCAAATTATTTACTTTAAGTTAAATAGAGTTATTTGATAGATCATTATACACTTAATGATCTGGTTTTTACATCAAATATCGATAGTTGTATCAAATAACTCCTCCTCTTAACATGCACGTACAAGCATTTATATATGTTAGCTCTATAAATGATAGCAAATTCATGATTGGTAGATCAAACATTTTCTTATGGAGAAATTTTCATGATCATATGGTAGACTTTATGAAGAAAGCTTGAAGCTCGAGATAATTATGATTAGCTCAATAGCCTTTAAGTGTATGATTTCACTGATTATATTAACAAAATCAAAGTAGAATTATAATTTATTTTGAATAAAAATATTTATTAAAACATAAGAAAATTCATTTTTGAAAGCATTTTAGCAATTTAAATCCTGTTATAACATGTTTGGTGAAATATTACATTGCTTTTGTTTTCAAAA